TTTTTTTAGTGTGGTTTGATAAATATATTTCTAAAAAGATGACTTTTAAATAACTATAAACAAACGAACATTGATCACATGATTAAACAATTAAAACAATATTTTCTCCAATATTAATACTTTTATTTTTACCAAATTTTTAGACATGATCAAACAATGAAGAATCGACAACTATTCATATTAGTTTTTAAAAAAAACTGTTATTAAATATAAAAAATCACACTATTACATGTTTATAAGAAAAAATTTAATTTATTAATCATAATCATTAAAATTGGATCACAATTACAAATTTTTCATCTCTTAGATCTCACAGATTGTATTGTATTTCTAAGTATAATTGAAACTTGAATAAAAAACTAATGATTACAATTATACAAAAAAACTATTTTTTTCTAAGTTATGTACTTACTTGATTTTGAAAAAGTAGACCGGTACAGAACACACCCGTAACGTGAAGAAGAAAACTGATAATTGAAGATAACAACGAAACACGTTTGATGGCCACTTTGTTTAAAAACTGATAAAAACAATTAGGTTAAAAGGTCACTTTGTTTTTAATTATAATTTAAAATAAGGGAATCTTTCCAAATCTACCACTTCTAGAGATGTGGCATTCCAAATCTACCACATTCTGAAAAAGCTTTACAAAGCTACCACATTTCTCTGCCACATGCGAAATAGCGGACGAAATTGTCCTTGATGGTGACATAAAGCTGTGTCAGATAAAAGGACAAGTTGGCACTGACTGGAGAAGAGGGACCAGGCTGCAATAAATGATGTACGTTTACAATTACTTATAATTATAATTAAATAATATATTAATAGAGTAGGGTTAGATCCTTCAAGGTCTTCAGCAAGATCCAACAAATACTCGGGGACATATGAAGAGAAAATAAATTAAGCTCGGGGATAAATTTAGATCGAATGGGTAATAGAACTAGATCAGGGACAAGTTCATATGAAATGAGTAATAGAATTAGATTGGGGACAAGTTCATATCGAATGAGTAATAGAATTAGATAAAGGACAAATTCATATCGAATAAGTAATAGAAGTAAATCAGGGACAAGTTCATATGGAATGAGTAATAGAATTAGATCGAGGACAAGTTCAGATCGAATGAGTAATATAATTATATCAGGGACAAGTTCATATGGAATGAGTAATATAATTAGATCGGGGACAATTTCAGATCGAATGAGTAATTGAATTAGATCGGGGATAAGTTTATATCGAATAAGTAGTATAATTAGATCAAGGAGAAGTTCATATCGAATGAGTAATAAAAGTAGATCATGGACAAGTTCAGATCGAATGAGTAATATAATCATATCGGGGACAAGTTCATATGGAATGAGTAATAGAATTAGATCGGGGACAAGTTCAGATCGAATGGATAATATAATTAGATCGGGGACAAGTTCAAATCGAATGAGTAATATGATTAGATCAAAAAATGAGCATGATGATTTTTATCATCTAATTCTCTTTATTGTCCATCGCCAGGTGGTGTGGTTTTGTCCGCCAAAGATCTGGATTTACTCGGGGACAACTGGATCTTTCTGTTATTCCGCAATAGAAGGAAAAAAAAATCAATAATCCGTGTAGGTGAAGACAATAGTGCTCAACTAATCTGTAGCCCAAAATAGATGATGTGAAATCTATATAAAATTCAAAACTTTTAAACGAGAACAATGGTGGATAAGATGTGAGATTCATGATAATAGAGCAGGATGATGAAATCGGGGACAAGATCTAGACGCAACAGAGAATTTCCAATCGAAGACAAGATCTCGAGACAAAAACGAAAGTTAATTGTTTAGTCTCATGATAATGTTTCTCTGTTAAAACGCACATCTCTCGAGGGATGAGAGATAAATAGAAAAACAAAACAGTTAAGAGAAGTCAAATCGTTGCATCGTGAAGCGCGAAAACTGCCCCAACAAGGGAGGGGTAAAATCGTAACTCCACTTTCCAAATGTGGTAGGATTGGAAAGGAGTTCCCAAATGTGGTACATTTGGAAAGATTTTGGAGAAATCTACATAAATATCAAATTTGTGGGCCATTAAATTTTTGCTCGACATTACTTTTTTGTGTTGTGGGCTTTTTACGTATTGGGTCATTAAGTCAAAGTAGGCAGGTCAACTTATATATTTAAGCCATTTAATTCATTAAATCTTATGCAGACTTATATATATACTTAAAAAAAATTGAAAAATTGGGCAGGTCAGCTGTCTATCCTACTATGCAAGTGGGTCCGCCCTTGCATGTAATTATAAGCACGACTTAAAGTTCTATATTTCTGTGTATAAATACGATAAAGTAACATAGTTTGTAGGAGAATAGATCGTTTTCCCAAAAATTGCTTCGTCTTTTAATTGCGCATTATAGGTTGTTTGCATTGTGAAAAATCTTTAGCCCACATAACGATTTCGTCTATTTTAGTATCATGTCTTATTATATACATCTCTCTTGATATTTAACCCAAAAGGGGATAGTTTCTTGATCTGCAAGGAAAAAACTAAACTTGTTAGCGAAGCTTCTGATCTTGTGATTTTTAATGTGTAAATTATTTTCATTTCAAACTATTATAAACGGATAGTTCTTAATCGAAATAACAGAGCACTAAAGTTAAGAATCTACAATACATAGAACAAAGAGTTATAAACGCTAACAGAGTTAGTTTAATCTTGTTTGTATGATCAAGCTGTCATTTCTTCAATGGGAGCATTATTCTCGAGCTTCTTGATGACCAGTTTGTTACTTGTCTGGTCAACTTCAAGAAGAATGGTGTCTCCCTCTGCAAAATCTCCTGTCAAAACTTTGAAGGCGATCTCCTTCTTCACAATCTTCTCAATCACTCTCTTCACTGGTCTTGCCCCATTGTTGGGATCAAACCCAAGCTGATGAGCAAGTAGATCCACTGCTTCTTTTGTGTACTCAAGTGTTATCTTCTTATGTTCCAACCTATTCTTCACTCGTATCATCTGCACCACCAAATGGTAACCAATAAATTTATACAAAACCAGAGCCAAACACGAAAAACAAAAGTAGGTGTAAAAAGGTAAATTACCTGCAACTCCACGATTTTCGATAGTTCTCTTGAATCCAAAGGCTGGAAAACTATGTATTCATCAATTCTGTTCATGAACTCTGGCTTGAAAGTTTTTCTTGCTAACTCCACAACTTGTTGCTTCATCATCTCATAAACTTCTTCTTTACTATCTTCATTGTTGCGGATCGTTTCAAGTATGTGTTGAGATCCTATATTAGACGTCATTATTACAAAGCAGTTTGTGAAACTTACTGTCCTCCCATGAGAATCTGTTATTCTTCCATCATCTAGTAGTTGTAGCAAGATATTAAAGACATCATGGTGAGCTTTCTCTATCTCATCAAACAGAACCACTGAATAAGGTCTCCTCCGAACAGCTTCAGTTAATTGCCCTCCTTCTTCGTAACCGATATAACCAGGTGCTGCACCAACGAGCCGTGAGACTGACTGTTTTTCCATGTACTCACTCATATCGATCCTCACTATCGCGTTTTCATTGTTGAAAAGGTATCCAGCTAGAGCTTTTGCAAGCTCGGTTTTCCCAACACCTGTTGGACCCATGAACATAAAACTGGCTATAGGGCGGTTAGGATCTGAAAGACCGGCTTTTGAACAACGGATAGCATCTGCAACTGATTCTACAGCCAAGTCTTGACCAATCACTCTCTTGTGGAGCATTTGCTCCAATATGACAAGCTTTTCTTTCTCTGATTGCCGAAGATTGGACAGTGGAATACCGGTCGACTTGCTTACTATATCCGCTATGTTAAGATCGGTGACCTCTTCTCGGACTAGTGAACTAGAATTTGTGAGGTTCTTTTTAGCTTCTTCTAACTGGCGTTGGAGGGATACAAGGGTTCCATACTTAAGTTCATCAACACGTTTTAGATCAGATTCCCATACCGCGTATTCAATTTCCTGGTTTACTTCATCGATCTGTAAAACATAAAACATGTTTAGGAGGACATTAGGGTTTATATATGAAACATAAAACTTGTTTAGGAAGTTAAATTGTACCTCTTCTTTAAATGAACGTATTCTAGCAATGAGAGACTTTTCTATTTGCCATTGCTCATTAAATTTTATCTGTTTATCTTTGAGCGTGCTCAAATCATTCTCAATCTTCTGTAGCCGTTCTTTTGAAGCTTTATTGGTTTCCATATTCAAAGAAAGCTTTTCCATCTCCAGTGTGATCAAAGATCTGTCTATTTCATCGAGTTCTGCGGGTTTAGAAGTGGTTTCCATCTTAAGATTTGCAGCAGCTTCGTCAACAAGATCAATAGCTGAAAACAAAAAACTTTCATTTTTAAAAACAAAGCCATTCTTGAGGTTTCTTTTGGCCAATTCCTCGAGAAATAGACTGGTAAAGAATCATGAGAAGGTGCAAGTTAGGTACCTTTATCGGGAAGAAAGCGTTCAGGGATGTAACGGTCTGCAAGAACCGCTGCTGAAACAAGGGCACCATCTGATATCTTAACACCATGGTGTAACTCATACCGCTTTCTTAACCCACGAAGAATCGAAATCGTAGCTTCAACAGATGGTTAATCACATAACACTTGATGAAACCTACGTTCAAGAGCAGGGTCTTTCTCTATGTAGTTACGGTATTCGGTCAGCGTAGTTGCACCAATGCATTGCAGTTCACCTCGAGCAAGCATTGGTTTCAAGATGTTGCTCGCATCCATTGCACTACCTTCAATACGTCCTACAAAACCGCAATATTATCAGGCATTAGTCTCCTTTGGGATACAAAAAGAGCATTTTATAAATATCGTTTACGAATTAAAAAGCACCTGCACCAACAAGAGTGTGGATTTCATCAATGAACAAGATTGTCTTCCCATTGGAAGCAGTTACTTCCTTCAGTACTACTTTCAACTTTTCCTCAAATTCTCCGCGATATTTTGTACCAGCAAGCAATGAACCCATGTCGAGAGATACCAACTACATCATATTTAGTAACCAAGCCAAGAATGTTAAAATCTTTCGTAGGCCGAAAAGAAAACTAGAGCAATATTAAAATTCTTAGAAAGAACCTTCTGATTCAAGAGATGTTCAGGGACATCCCCGCTTACAATTCGTTGGGCCAACCTAAAGAGACACTAGGTCAAAAATCTCTCAGTAAAGTTTTCTAGATATAATTGCAATTAGCCTTACCCTTCTGCAATAGCAGTTTTGCCTACACCAGGTTCACCAACAATAACAGGGTTGCTTTTTGTTCTCCTGCATAATATCCGGATGCAGCGCCTAATTTCGTCATTCCGTCCAATGACAGGATCGAATTTCTCTTGTCTAGCCAATTCAGTTAAATCAGTTCCATAGTTATCAAGTGCTCCATTTTGATTAGTCTACATATAGAAAAAGAAAACACCAAAATTTGTAACACTCATGTGATAATCATCAATGAACATACTAGATAAAATTTGACACAGTAGCACTAAAAGAAACTGAGAATCCACATGTAACTAGCCACTAACCAAAGATGCGAAGTGGCGCGGAGAAGGGAACTGAAAAGAAATAGGGAACAGTTGGCCATGAGCTTCGATTTGAGTGACCGAAGGGAAGCCGTTTCGGATGAAGGAATTTGGTCGGAAAAGAAAGGAATTGGAAGAGGAACGTGAGCTGAAGTGAGCACAGGTAGAGATAGCTCGAGAGGGTCTTGAAAAAGTATATTGAGTCTTGATGGCTACCGAAGCAGACTTGGATAATCTCCTGGACGCCATGGGTTTGGTTTAGGGTTTACTTTAGGATTTACTTTAGGATACTTGGAGAAGAGGCAAAGATGTTTGTTGATTATATATATACTACCTGCGCAGGAAATTGTTTTTTTTTTTTTTTTTTTTTTTATTTTATTTTTTTTTATGATTTTTGCTGTTTTGATACTAAAGAAATTTTCGTTTTGTTAGATAAATGTAAAATATATGGTTAGTGTGATGTAAATTTGAACTAGATCATGAACGGGTTAAATTTTATTTAGTACCAATTTTATCTATTATAGATTTTAGAATAAAGTTTTGATATATTATAGTAGTAAGTGAAATTTTTTTCGTTAGTCCCTATATAATATTAGAATGAATATATTTTATATTTATACTTAATTATGTTTATTGTTTTTAAGATATGGAAACGAAAATTAATTTTATTTTAAAAACTTAATATTATTTGAACGATGAGTTTATTTATGTTAACAACCACAAAATGAAATTGCATATAATTCGGTAAATCAAAATTAAAATAATGTAAATGATCCGCATCTAAAATATATTATTTTGAATTAATTAAGAAAGTTAGCTATTATTTTTAATTAATTTAGAAAGTTTTTTTTAATAATTCTTCGGTTTTTTAATTGGAGATTTGTTTGAGCTAATTACGGAATTTAGCAATTATTCGCATAATCGAATATATTAAGAACATATGTTTGTTATATATTAATACTAAAATTTAATTCGTGGCTGGAGTCTATATTTTTATTTTAGAATCTCAATGAAAAGTTGCTTGCAGAATAAAATTTTCAAATACTAGATTATGTACCCGCGCGTTGCGCGGAATTTTAATTTGATTTTTTTTATCAATGCGAATCTTTGAATTATTTGAATTTTAAAAAAATTTACTTTACTCTTGTTCAATATCTTTCCATAGTAGTAAATAATGTTTGGGGCTTTTGCAAAAATGCCACTTTTTCAATGCCACTTTTCAAAAATACCCTTTTTTAAAACCTTATAAAAAATGCTCTTAAAAATATCAGATTTACCCAAATATGTATGTAATATTATTAAAACATACACAAACTACATTTCTATGTATCTAAAATCTTATAAATACTTTATAAATACCTTATAAATGCATTTTAAATACCTTTAAAAACCTTTAAAATATATTGTAAAACCTTTGAAAAACCTTAAAAATCTTTTAAAATAACTTGTAAAACTTTTAAAAACACCTTATAAAACTTTATAAATACTTGGATCGAGTCTTCAAGTAGTAGTTACAATCCATAAGTACCTTATAAACCTAATAAAACTTTATAAAAATTTCAGATTTAAAAAGGGGCATTTTTGAAAATAGACATCTAAAAGGGGCATTTTTGAAAAGGGACACACCAAAAGGGGTATTTTTAACAATTTCCCACAATGTTTTACACTTTTTACTACAATTTTTCATGTTATCTTCTATGATTCACTCGTTGTCTCCCGACATCTACTCTCTTTTCACCTTATAGTGACTCACATATAATATACTCGACTATAAATTAGTTCTCAAGATAGATCGTATATATTTTCTTATTCATATATTTTAATACTCAAATTTTTTTTTTCATAAGTTGCATGATCTTTTTAGTAAAGTGAACATTAGAAAATCTCGGGAGATATTTGTCATAAAGTTTCTTTGACCATGTTTGGTGCATGTAAATTGCTTTATAGACAACATATCTCATATACAGACTCATTCATATTCACAAACATCGGATTTCAACATCAAATTTTGTATTTTATCTTGACCGTTTGAAAAATACAAAAAAACAAATTCACATATATTATTTGGCGTATATTATGATTCTATATAGTATTCTTAATAATGATGATTTTTGTAAAATTCGTAACTTACAAACTCATATAAATCATTCTAATTTTAAAATACAATTTTTAATCTTTAATTTTTACTTATAATTAAAAACTCTTCAATATACCATTACTATTCTAATTTCCAAATAGCATTCACAAATATTATTATTACACGGTTTCTTATTCGATTGGATTATTTTATTTTTATTTGTGATGTTTAGTATATTTTTGTTTTATTTAAAATCACCTTAAAAGTTTTTGATCTATGTTAAAATTTCATAAACACTGATTAATATTTAGTTTTTCTTTTTTAGGTATTCATTTGATTTTAATAAAAAAACAACCACTTTTTAATTTAGAAAGTACTAATAATATAGAAATTTTTTATTAATGTAACTATTTACATTATATTATATTTATAAATAATAATATGTACTCAATCCTTTTTATTTTCAACAGTATCATAAATTGATGCTTTAACATTAAAAATATATTTTAAACATTTTTAATTTCAAATGTGTATTTTTCATAAATAAATTGCTTTTATTTTCAGTAAAAACCTTTAAATTTAGTATATTTTAAAGTCTTATTTTTCTTTATTCTACTAAATAATTATAACTCTTAAAAATGATTATTCTATTATTAAAATATATGATAAGTTTTTGTTTCATATCTTTAGTCATTTAGGAATATTTACTACAATTATCTAATTTTATATTTATCCAATCTCTATTCAAAAATTTATTTTGTGTTATAAATTTAAACTAGGATGACTTGGATGATGATGTGTACACCCTAGATGGAGAGACAACTCTCCTATTATATATATAGAGTTAGAGTTTTACCTTATTTAAACATCTCATCATATAATCTTAACCCGCCATATATTATATGGATCATAACTCTTTCTATCATATAATACATTATATTTAATCTACCGTCCGCTATAAATATTTTAAATATATATGTTCAAGAAAATCAAATTAGAATATTTATAATTTTTAACTTTTTGATCTATTAAATGATATTCTTTAAAAATATGAAGTTAAACAATTTTTAAATGTTCCAAATTAAAATATTTAAAAAGTTTATTGTAGTATATAAAATTATAAATTTCAAAAAAAAAAGAATTATATGAAATTGAATATAGATAGTTATCAGGATCGTAAGTTATTCCATCATATAATATACTACACTTGAGAAAGATTGCCAGAAAGACACTTTATTTGATATATCTTTTCAAAACTACCTCTCTTTTTGGCATTTTTCATTTATGCTTCTTTTAATTTTATATGACCATTTTACCCCTATTTGAAAAATATTTAAATCAACAAAATGAAAAAGTCAATTTTCCCGCCAAAAAGTTTTTCGACAACAGTTTTTCCGCTAAAAATATTTTTCGACAAAAAATTCTCGACAAAATATTTTGGTGGGAAACTTGATACAGGGAATTTTTGCGGGAAAAAGTTTAATAGGATTTACATGTGCTTTAGAAATGTTTTGAAAGGATTTAAAAGGGTTTTAAAAAGATTTACAGGAGTTTTAAAGAGATTTACAAAGGTTTTTAAAGGATTTTATAAGGGTTTTAAATGGTTATAAAGATTTACAAGAGTTTTAAAAAGGTTTTAAAAAGATTTAAAAGGGGTTTGAAAGGGTTTTAAAACATTTTTAAAGGATTTATAAGGGTTTTTAAAGGATTTTATACAAGGGTTTTATAAGGGTTTACAAAGATTTACAAGAGTTTTAAAGGATCTACAAGTTTTTTTTAAGGATTTACAATGGTTTTAGAAGGGGTTTACAAGAGTTTTAAAGGATTTATAATGATTTTCTAAGGGTTTTAAAAATATTTACAAGGACTTTAAAAGGGTTTTTAAAACATTCTACAAAAGGGTTTTAAATTTCAAATTTGGCAGAAAACTTTTTGGCCCAAAAATTGTTTTTGGCAGACAATTTTCACTTTCTCATTAGTCATATTAAAATAAGGGTAATCAAGTCATTTGTATATATCAGTATGTATTTTGGTAGGAAATTTTCACTTTTTCATTATCTACTTATATTGAAAGAAAAATAATTTAGTCATTTATGAGTGAGTATTTTTAAAAATGGACAATAGAAAATGGTATTTTTGAAAAAGTTCATAGGAAAAAGGGTATTTTTGCAAATGTCCTTCATTTAACCCACCACCTACTATAAATATTTTAAATATATCTGCTTAAAAAATCAAATTACAGCATTTATAATTGTAAAATTTTTGATTTATTATATATTGATGATATTTTTTAAAAATATCGAGTTAAAATATTTGAAATATTTAAAATTTTTATTGCAGTATATAAAATTATATATTTGAAACAAAGAAATGTATGAAATAGAATATAAATATTAAGATGACAAAAAAAAAGAATATAAATATTAAAATTCTGACTCGTTACTCAGAACATCAACAAAATCAAACGAAAGAAAACCTAACGATAAAGAAAACACATAGTTAGCTAATTCATCGGCAAGATGATTAACTTCCTTATACACATGAGAAATCTGGATAATCCAGTCTTTTGATAAGAAGCCATGACACAATCGTATCAAGAATGACACTGGATGTTGATCACTTATTACTATCTTAAAAAACCCAACCATCGTTGATGAGTCTACTTCCAACTCCACTATGGGTATTTGTTTTTCCCATGCTAGCCGGGCAATCTCTCAGGATATGTAATATGTTCTCCACACCACCTTTACATACCTGACAAATGTCCGAGCCGCATATGTGTCTTCTATTTCTCTTTGTATTGATCATGATCACTTGGTTCCCAACTAACCAAAAGAAAACTTTTAAACGCGAATATTTGAAATACCATTAGTATACTTATTTTTTAATGACTACCTAAATGAAGACTTTTAATGTAAATCAAATTTAAGTTTGGGTCTACATATATTTTATTTTGGACACAAACATAATACAAGTAAATATTACATTTTAGAGATTATGTTTATAGTGTAATTAAGTATATTTATATATCATGATGGTCTCACTTTACCCCCGACTAAGGTTGCAAACCTTGTTATTTCCACCATGGAAAACAAGTGTACTGCGTTACACCAACGCGGATCAAAGAGTGCTTTACCTATTCTTCACTGTTGGTTACGCTCAAGGTCATGAGGGTATGCTTTGTTACCTCTTTTGTTAGGTATCTTTGTTGGTGTTCTTCTCACATCTAGTGCTAGTTGGTTCTTGTTTGTTTCTTTGTAAACTTTTTATTTGATTTTATATAAG